GGGGGGGGCAGTTTTACCCTCTTGAGTTCCACGCTTTTGTTTGGTGTGCATTTTATTTTCCCCAAGCTATTTAAGATTAATAGAACCACATAAAAAAAAAAAAAAAAATTATTGAGCAATTATGCGTTAAAAATTAAAATTTAATTTAAAATAAAAAAATTAAACCTAATCCTGGAACAAGAACCAGCACCTCCAAATCTGAGACCATGGTCCTCCAGTGTCTCCAGCTGCAGATGTGTCTCCAGCTGCAGATGTTTGTCTCCAGCTGCAGAACTGTCTCCAGCTGCAGATGTTTGTCTCCAGCTGCAGATGTTTGTCTCCAGCTGCAGATGTTTGTCTCCAGCTGCAGATGTGTCTCCAGCTGCAGATGTGTCTCCAGCTGCAGATGTGTCTCCAGCTGCAGAACTGTCTCCAGCTGCAGATGTGTCTCCAGCTGCAGAACTGTCTCCAGCTGCAGATGTGTCTCCAGCTAAAGAACTGTCTCCAGCTAAAGAACTGTCTCCAGCTGCAGATGTGTCTCCAGCTGCAGATCTCTGTCTCCAGCTGCAGATGTTTGTCTCCAGCTGCAGATGTGTCTCCAGCTGCAGATGTGTCTCCAGCTGCAGATGTTTGTCTCCAGCTGCAGAACTGTCTCCAGCTGCAGATGTGTCTCCAGCTGCAGATGTTTGTCTCCAGCTGCAGATGTTTGTCTCCAGCTGCAGATGTTTGTCTCCAGCTGCAGATGTGTCTCCAGCTGCAGATGTTAGTCTCCAGCTGCAGAACTGTCTCCAGCTGCAGATGTGTCTCCAGCTGCAGATGTGTCTCCAGCTGCAGTACCCTGACCCCCCAGCAGAGGTCGTCGCGCGCAGCCTCGGCGGCTCATCAATCGTCTCGAGGAGCATCATGGAGGAACCAGGCTGGCTCCAGAAGACAACTGATACATTTTTGTCACCGTGCACCGGAGCCTCCCCTCCCCCCACGGCGGGGGCCGCGGCCCCGGACCAAGAGAACCGTGTTTTTGGACCCCCCCGCCGCCTCGCCGTGCTCGTGGGCCGCCTCGTCCACGCGCCTCGCGCTCTTTTCACATTAGTAATAATGGCGGCCGTGAATTAGCCTAGCTGCAGGTTCTGACCCGACAGAACTGGACTCAAACTACACGCTCCTTCTCCAGGTACACCCGGACCGAACCTCGGTTTAACCGGCGGACCGGAGGGCTTCAGCCCCGGTTTGTCCTCACCCTGGTTCCCCGCAGCTCCCGGAACCTGCTGGTGGACGTGGGGCTTGTAGGACATTCCCAGAGACATCGTAAATTAAATAAAAATGACCCAAATCCGGCGAAGCGTCTGTCTCACTTTTTGTTTACAACAGCGGCGCCGGCAAACATGGCGGCGTTCACAAAGAACATCTGGATCCACAGCCAACATCTGGCTTCGGACCAGAATTCAACATGAAAACAACTTCTGCTCGACTTCACAGCGATTTTAAGAAAAGGTTTATGTTTTTAACAAGTTTAAATGTTTTGAGAAGCTTCCTCCTCTAATTAAACTTAATTCAATTAAAGTCTCCATCAGACCCTGGGGGCCCACATGGACCCCCCAGGAGGACTCAAGACCCCCACCAACACAAACTGAGCCTTTTATTTATTTTACACAAAATAAACAAACTGGATGTTTCAGAATTACTCATCTGTAGGAAATTATATTTATTTTCCACTTTTATTGAGCTTTTCAGGCGGCACGGTGGATCAGTTGGTGGAGCCGTCTCCTTTCAGTGAGAAGGCTGTTGGTTCAAATCCCAGCCAGGGGGCCTTTCTGGGTGGAGTTTGCATGTTCTCTCCGTGCTGCGTGGGTTTTCTCGTTTCCTCCCACAGACCAAAAACACGCATGTTAGGCTGATTGGTAACTAAATTGTCCCCAGGTGTCCCTGTGATGGACTGGAGACCTGTCCAGGTGTCCCTGTG